CATAAGGGATGCAATTAGTTTCGTAATGTTGGTTTAATTAGAGTAGAACCCCGGGTAGCGGATTATCCGTGCCGTGATTTTCCTTAATTGAACTTTTATCACAATAGCATACCGTAAATCACTCAGCGGAAACTCTCATATGCAGCGAATGAAGCCGCATTTTCCAACTCAGATTGGAAGGCGCTATTATGACCACTTTCTCCGTCGTCCGTCCGTCCGTCCGTCCGTCCGCTACTCACACTGATTATTTGGAAAAAATGTATCAGGTGCCACTAAATATCGAATTGGGACACAATCGACATTAGGCAGCTTTGCGTGGTTTGTTAGGTTCCAGTGCAGTGCGAAATTTCGTTTTCTGTGTGGAAGAATTAACTATACAAAATTGTTGTCTTATTCAATGGTGAAGGTAAGATGGTGTTACTCATTGACGAAAGCCATAATCAATACGGTTATTATTGTTTATAATGCCATTACGCGCCGGCAACTGAAGTGTAAAACACCGTGTTTGAAACTACTACACAGATTTAATGAAATTTAAACCGGTGATACATTTGCATAAATCACCATGTATACATATTCATATTTAGCTTACAAAAGCTCTAATTTTGATAAATGTAGCTATTGTCTCTATCGTAGTGTACAATTAAGCCACTAGGATGTATATTAATGTTTCTAGAGGTTTATCGTTTAATTGTTCTCCTCCAGCAAGTAATACGCAGTAAATTCGTTGTTCACTTTTGATCAGGCGTTTTCCTCCAAATTTAATTAAGGAAAATACCTACGCCCAATTAAAGGTAGACTTTTGCTACCCTTTGATTCGCCAATTATGACTTCTGCTTTAATTAGAATTGTTCTTCACGGGGGTGGAAGAAGGCAAATTACGCTATTTAAAGTTCATCTTAATTACCTCATAAACTCGTGGTAACTAATAGCCTTTAATATTAACAGGCGTTGCTAAACAAAGACTTTTGAAAGGAGTTAAATTATGGTACAGATCGTTAGATTAAATGTGTGCAGTTCCGCAGTTAATTAACATTAATGAAGTGAATATAATTTAAAATCGCCGTGGAAAATAGTTTTTGGTTCATTTCCTTTTAATTATTCAGCAGATTTATTTTACTACACAGCCGGAAATAGCGCTCAAATTTGTAATTAAATAAAAGCTTTACGTAAATTATACGAAGGGTATCAAAAAACCAATATTATAGCGTAATTAAATTGTACCTTTCCGTTAGTGGGTGTTTTTACCACGTGTTGAGTTGAACACATTCCACCCAACTATCTCTCCAAATGGCACTTTCAATAAAAAATTACGGATTCAGATTTTTTGAGCACTTTTAAAAAAATTACCCTCATTTGTGTACGATTGTGGTAGTACATTTTCCTTATTTCTCAACGATATTGATACTTTTGATCAAAGTTGGATATAATCTGGAATGTGTTCTTACTACATTATAGATCTTATCAAAAGGGACAGCACTTTTGGAAAATGTGGGTAATTTACGTCACAAAATGTACATTATTCAAGCTTTTAGTGAATAAGTTCGCCAATATTAGAAAATGTGGAAAATCCGATTTTCAGAAAATAGAATAAACACATTCTAGCAATTTGTCCGATATTTCATTCTACACATTTTTGACATCTGCCTACTTATATCTAATCATAATTAAAATGTTTTCAGTAAATACAATATTACATTTGCGGTCTTCGGGAAATCGGGCACGTATAATTGAAAATGACAAATCGATTTCAGCTCGATTGCCGTAGCATTGCAGTTCTATAGGCAATACATCATACTAATGTTGTAGTGCGATGTATGCAGTTTCAATAGCGCGGATCGTAGCAAAATGCAGAACGTAGGTCAACATTGTGGCGATTATTTATAACACACTCCCTTTGTTGGGCCTTGCTCCATTTTCCATTTCGTGTTTTACTACAATCATTGTATCTGTCAATGCAATTTGCTTACTACAGCATGTGGTTTTATTATATGGGGGAATGGTCCAACTTAAAAGCCTAATTTAAAAGGGTAGAGAAATATTTCGAACCACTGCTGAAACCAAATTGTAAATTGAAGTGTCGAAGCTTTAAAGTTTCATTTACAAATTGAAATAAAAAGTATTCAAGACACAATTTTAGACGAAATTTTTTCTTTTTTAATAATCCTAATAAAATAATCCTGTCGCTCAACGGTTTGCGATAAATAAGGAGCACTTAACTCTACACAAACGCCGACAGGTTCTGAACTTGCACCACTTGCACAGTGCAAGTTGCACTACAGAAATACTAACTCAAATGAAATAAACTCATTCGGCCCCCCCCCCTCAGCCCATATTTACTCAACTAACTACAAGACATTGTGCACACAACATTTCCCCCCCCCCCCCTTAAATTGAACACAAAGTCAAAATTACATCAACTCCCCTTTGAACACAAAAAAAAACCATTATAATTATGGATTTTTGATCAATTTTCCAGCTGATCTTCCTTAAATAGGTCGGGATTTGCCTTCAACATCCTGGCACGATCATCTAAAACAATTCCATAGTCAAATTAACATCTCACATTATACCATCAACCAGATGAGTTCTAATCTTTTTCAATTCCTGCTTTCTCCCCCCTTATCTAACTTTACGCAGAATGTTTCTGAAAAAATCCCAAAAATTGAATAGGCTCATAGTTTCTCACTTACTAAAATGCATTTACTTTTTCCATCTTTGACTAAATTACTACAATTTGTGAAGGCTCACTTGTTAAAAGGTCTAATTGCATTTTGGTTTCTAAAATTCTTAACACAAATTACCTTCACTCACCATTTCTTTTACTCCTTATTCATTTTACGATAAAAATTTTCCCTCGTTCTCATTTTTTTTCCTAATTCCTTCCCCCGTATTCCTTTCCTTGATGAAACATTCATGATTCACCTATTTTTTTCCAAACGAATACTCCAATAATACCCCAATAATAAATCCTATTATTCGAAAAACACGTCATTAAATAGTACGTCAAATCACGACAATCAATCTAAAATTACAAATTTAATCTTCAACCACGGCCCTCTTAAAATTTCTGCAATAAAACAATTAGATAATTTAACCCCTTTCTCTACTGAAATCCATATCTTCTTTATCCTGTACTTCAACTTGAAGCGTTTTTTCTTTATAACTTTCTTCTTCTTGCCTATAGAGTCCATGTTCCTCAACTTCTGTCTTGACTCAACTTTAACATAGTTTCTTATATTCCAACCTCTTGTTTATAATTCTTAACTTCTACTTCTCTTGTTCTCTTGTTTTCTCCTTTCTATTATTTGTGTCTTCTTTTACACCACTCGATTCTTTTACCTCTTCGTTCTATTCTTTTATTTCATCGTGTATTTCTTCGTAAGGTAAATACCGGAGTAGTATAGAACAACTTAAGACCTTCTGCAGGGGCACCTCTAAAAAAAGCATTATGCGGGTCACTCTGTAATTGGGCGTAAGTCTCTTGAGGGCCTAGAACAAGAGGGACAATAAATAAATAAATAAATTACTCTCTTTACTACTAGTGGTCACTTCCTTCGCATGCGATCTGATATTTCTCTTATCTTAGTCCTCGTTTCATCACTTTCCCCACCTTAATTCCTCATTATTCCCCCCATTTTCCCCATTAATTTATTCTTCAGTATTTCAGCTAGCCATTCTTCCTCGGCCTTGTAGACATCTTCTTTTTTTCTAAACTACGTTCTTCTTCGTTAAAATCACTTTCTATTAAGAACCCTACGTCTATCTAGCACTATCTATCCCTGTAATTAATCCTGTAAGCAGGAATGTGTCCCAAAACAATTTAAATTAGCAAATTTGCAATTTACCTCGAAAAATCTCAATATTAACTTAACTTGGGAGACACAGTAGCGTCGCGAAAATTCCAAACGATTAACTACATCAATTTTTGATAACGCCTATCACAATTCTTGGCACGAGAAGACAAATCTGACATGGAAACTCTATCCGGGTGGCACAATGGGTTCGAATAAACACACTATTAATTCACAATGACAAAATCTTATTCCAAAACAGATGAAACGATCATTAAACAAAATTTCTTAAAGAAAGAGATCCTTGCAAAGCTTGTTTGGACCAATTACCCCCCACGCAATCGTTCGACAAATGAAATAGGAAAATCTTAAAATTACTTACAGTTTTTTTCTCTTTTAGTTATCCAAATAATCTGGCTTCACTTGACAAAATATCTTATAAGAAACGACCAGATGGGCCTACATTTACACACGCAATTTCACGATTTACAATTAAATAAACAGCTCCAATTAAAAAAAAATTACACTACAGAACTACAAACTCAAATGAAATAAAGCAATTCTGTGCTTATTCGTAAATCTTGACATTTGAGCATAAAGGTACCGTCCTCCTTAGAAAATAGAAAGTCCTGCAGCTTTAGATCCCTTATCGTTCTTGCCTTCCGTTTTCGCGAAATAAGTTAATCATGGTCCATCCCTACAATTAGAATTTAATGTTCTCTGTGGTTAACTTGTGATAAATATTAGTTGTAATCTGTGATACTGCTCGTCTTATATACTCAGTTTTTGCTGTAATTTTTTTTGGTTGACGAGTGTTAAAAACTTTGAATGTTGTATTTACACAATATACGTTATTATTATTATCATCAAAAAGGTATTCAACTGAAGAAAAAGTCGATATTGTCAATTATTATAGGGCCGGTAACAGGTTAAGGAGCGTAAGAAATTTATTATCTGTGAAGCCAAAGCAACAATATTCAAATTAATTAATATGGCAGCCAGTTCTTTGTTTTAAGAAGTTATTTCGGATGCATAAAATTAGGTGCCTTTCAGAAGAGATTTTGTCTTTTAAAAGTACACATGGGAAAAACAATACACGTAAATCCGCATGTCTACTTCTTTCAGTTATTTTTTAGTCATACGAACATTAAAAAATATTTATTGATAGTTACATTTAAAAATATATTACTTCATGTCTAATCTCTACCAGTCCTTTACTACAAACTAAATTATCTACATGCAATCGCGATGTACGCACACCAAATTTCTTATCCAGCATTCTGTTTAAAACAAAACGGACGAATATTTTTTAGTATCGCTCCTCCAAACACCCTAACCGGTGTCGACGTCCAGCTTATTAGCATTTTCTGGTGATCAAGTGGAGATCCCTTTCGCAGGGCACAATTATAGCTTAATTCCACAAGTTGTAATCCTAAAGGCTTCTGACTAACACCGTTAATATCACTCATAATTCCGTAACTGGTAATCCTCTTAGATGCCGCCTCGTTACCGACCAAAATCCCCGTTTCGAACGGGTGACGATAATGCTCTTCGCTCATATGTGGTTGCTTAATGCGAATTCTTTCTTCCGAACCGAACAAGTTCCAGAAGTTGTTCAGTAAATTCTTGCCATTGTCCCACATTCCTTTCGGGAATCGATTTGGGCCTACCGTAAAGTAGCTTAAAACGTTCGGAACGTCTGAATAACGGTGCATATTCTGTGGGTCGCGTACGTTTTGATTGTAGACGCGTCGTTGGGTGTTGTAGGGTGGAATGAGTACGTTAGTGAGATCCGGGTGCTTTTCGGCCGAGGATAAAACCATGTTAAAGCCAAATATGTCGCCCTCGATGCCATCATCCAGACCCTTGTCAAAATCGGTGTACTCCTGTCCGACTACTATGTCGCCTCCTTTAGGGATCTGCACTCCTTTAAGCTGAAACAGAACATTGATCACTTTAGACTTGAATTTCTCTTCTATAATAGTAAAAGTAATATTAATACAGTAAAGAATGATCCAATCATAATATATAGGACTCTACTCTCAATTACGTTAGTATTAGGCGATCTTGAGGGCCGTGAATTTACAAAATGTCTACTGATAATACCGTATTTCTAGGCCATTTTCAAACCGTTTCCGAGGAGGATCTAACATGATTCTTAAAAACTTCCTAACGACAAGAAATGTTTCGAATAAATTCTTCATACTTTTTCGAGTAGAATCGAAATATGGAATATTAAATTTTGGTTTCCATTTTAAATTAAAAAGTTGGGGGGTGTAATTTTCGGGCCATTCGATAGAAAACAATATTAGTAAGAACCCGGGGTATTTGTTAAATATTTTTATGCCCCTGCGTTACAAAACGGTTGGATAAGTGATTCGGATCACTCTATACACTGTGTACGACGATGGTCAAATTATAGAAAACATGCGCAATTAGAGAGTAATTATCATGCTTTAAATAAAACCAGAAAATTCCGATTACTCCCGAAGATATGCCAGAAAAACCGAAATTTAGGGATTTCGTTTTTATTCCTTCTGATGTTATTCGAACAAATAAATTAAAAAAACACTTTCTCGTTGCCACTTTTTCAGCTCTACAAGACAGACGTTTCAAGACAACGTTTCCCTTTGGAGAAATCATCAGCCACTTTATTGTTTTATATGGCCCGTGCCTGTATTTAGTTGCATTTTGTATTACGAATACGATGTACGGTACAAAAAAAAACAAAAGTTGACAACTGTTGATTCCAACGGGATGGTGCACCCACGCACAACGTTCTAACTGGTCCGAGAATATTTCCTGGAAAATGGAAAATACTTGTGGTGCTCTGGCGACTGTAGATTCGGTAAAAAGGCTCGACTATATACAGGGTCGCTAATAAGTCTGGAAACTGCCGATTTTGGGGAAAATATTGGTGTCTGCAAAACACAAAATACCTGTCCAGGTAGCTCAAACAAATCAAAATTGAAACTTGGACATTTTTATACCGAAAAATCCCAATATAATAATAATAATATAATCAATAATTTGGGAGACTCAGAACCCTTGATCAACTTTTGGAAATTCCAAAAAATTAACCACACACATTTTCATTAAAGCTTAACACAAATTTTGGACACGATAAGAAAAATTTGACATGAAAACTATCTGGGTCGTACAATGGGTTCGAATAAACACACAATTAATTGATTGAGAGTGACAAAATTTTATTCCGAAACACATGAAAGGAACATTAAACAAGATTGTGGGAAGAAACACATTACACATTAACGCATTTTAACTAAATTGAATGCATTACAGTAATACAAACAATTCTAAAATGAAAAAAAAATAACTACGGAAATATAAATTCAAATGAAATAAACCTATTCTGTGCTTATTCGTAAACAATCCCCCCTCAGAAAAGTTGTGGAGATCTGCAATGTGTGCTAGGCAATAATCATTTTAATTATGCATGTGGTGGTGTCGCACACCAAAATTGCATTTTTTTAAATGGAACACCTTGTACAGTATTCGATATTTCATTTGTTCTTTCAATGTTAAGCAAAGGTTGTAAGTAGCATAATGTATCTCAATTATTAAAAAAACTTAATTGTTAAGCATCTTAAGCCAAATTTAAAAAGCGGGTTCATGGGCCAAGACCAGTTATATCGGCCAATATCGAAGATAGGATTCCTGCCGACCTGGCTGCATTTAGGTCAACTAAAAGCGCCTGGAAAGAGTGGAGGAGGCAAATCTATTGAAATAGCAAACTATACTATTACATCCCTGGGAAGTAGGCGCGATTGATAGGAAAAAATGCGTGAGGAAATTAAATTTTGGAAATGGTGAACTAGAAGTCGTATATCATAATCCTTTTGACACACACGTTTTCTAAACCAATTGGAAACGGATCTTAAAAATATGCCAGATGGAAATTTAAACAAGACAGAATAAAAGAAAGCGCTGTATGAACTGTATAAGTCTTTTCAAGGCGAAAATGAAAAACCTAGTATCGATGACACAATGTAAACCAATGTTCCATGGAATAAGATGGATTATTGTTTCAGTTTACTGTATTATGAAAAGCGTTTTCAATACTACATTTGAGCTTTATTTTATCGCACTTATATCGCAAAAATATTTCACTTTTTTTGACTTTATTGTTTCATCATGTGGCTTACTTTTTTACAGAAACTGTATATTTCAGCGTATTGTTTTTTAAAGGCGTGCCTGCTGCGATTTTTAACTACTTGTGCTGACAATTATTGCTCTATACCCTTTTATACGTTTGCTTGACGTAGTCTAGTAGAGAAATGTCATACTTATGGTCTTGATCTAAAAACAAGTGTTGGTCCATTAATGGTGCCGGTGATCGGCAGATTAAAAATGATCGTAGTTCTTCGAATTATTTGGTATGAGGAAGACTTTAATGACCTTTCACCATCATGTGAATGCTAAATGGAATACGAATATCGTGTTCCCCGTCAGTTGAAGTGATATCCGCCTGTTTAAAAATCATTCACTTGTCAATGTGTATTACGACGCAATTACTCTTATTAAGAGAACGTACACAATTTACCTAGTAAAAGGTATAATTCTACATACGTCAATTATTAGTTATTTGTTTATAACACTTATGCAGGTTGGTTACAACATATTTCACACCAGTGAAATTATCTCATTCGCATAATCGAAAGTTTTTTTTTAATGCATCGTTAATATTAAAATATTGCCCGGAATCATGTTTTTGAAAGTATCAGTTTTTACGGAACCAGTAGTTTATAAAGTGCAGGAAGTTGTTTATGGGTCTTTGTAAAATAGACAATAAAACAATAAACTAAAGTGCTTACCTTTGATTCATAATTGGCGAGGACTAGTTTTCCATTTAGGAAGTAGCCCCAATATCCCTTCGACGATTCCCATGATTGACACAGGTGGTACCACTTCTTCTCGCGAAAATTACTCTCGATTGTAAATACCCGTTTTTCCATTATCGCCAAATTAACTTCTTTGCCATGAGGTGAAATCCATGCTCGTATGTACCGCGTCTTTTCATCTTCTGCAGAAAAAGAACATTAGTATGATTAAGTGTTATATTTCATGAGACTTCTTTGTTACTTAATAACTTTCACCGCATGTAACAGGTATAGGAGATTCTCTGGGGTTTTATTAACATTCTTACATGTTTATTTTTCACGGACTTGTAATTACAGTTATAAATTACTTACAGTTGTAAAAACGCACATGTTAGTCTCGTACTCGAGACTATAATTAATAGCGTATATCATATTGTTTAAAACCACCAGTAGGGAACTATTGTTGAATAAACAAACTGAAAATGTCTACTCTTTCAATGAAACGTTGAGAAGTTTCCTTCTCATGAGTATTTTGAAGTACATAATTCAAACTAAGACTTTAGAAATCTGTTCTTTAACCAGGTTTTTGTATGAAACCAGACGAGGGTAGATTGATAAGTTTCGATTTCAATATTATCAAGTCTATCTGGCCAAATCAAATTCGTTGAATCTCAGTTGATCTAACGGAATTGGTGTTCATCCAAAATTCTACAGTTCTCACAACGGAGCTTAAACAAAATCGACCCAGCGGTTTATCTTTTAAAAATATGTTGCCGCGAAAAACCGTTTTTCGCATATATCTCTAAAACAATGCATTTTTCGAACAATATGTGGAGAGCAAAATTAAAGAGGAGAAAATTCCGAACAAAAAATGTTCGTAGCATATGAATTTGTGACAGTTGGGATATGATTTATTAAGCTTTTCGCTTATTTCAAAAATATAAAGATAATTATTACAGATACGTGACAATTTAATAATTAAGAAAGTATATTTTATTTTATAGAAATGTGTTGAATTAGATAAGGAAATTTCTAAGAATTATTGTGGACGTGACAATTTGAGTGTCCGTCGTATTGGTTATGTTCGTCTCTATGCAGTTTTATTGGTGGATACATTTTTTAGAGCTTTTAGTGCTCAAAATAAAGCTAATATCTTGGACCACGTAGTAACTATCTCATTGTCCAAGACCGAATCGATCTCAAAAATCTTCCCGTAAGGATCCCTACACCCACGATATGGCCTTTTATCCGTGAAACACTACCAACTTGCGGATACGTTTTCTTCATTTTAAAGGTACTAAATCAATTCAGACGTACTTCTCGCATATGCCGATTCCGCATTTCTCACACTACCGAATGACCTCACGCTTATTCAATGGTTTCAAGTAGATATGGCCAATTAAGATACTCATTTTGGCTGTAGTTACGGCTGCATCTCGTCCACAGGCATCCGGAACCCATTATGAAAACAATACTCTACATTGTAGAGCGATTTGCGTCTTTTAATTTCTGTACAGAAGTTAAAAGACGCAGAAAGAACAATTTTCAAATACAGATTTATGCTTACTACACTAGTAAAATAATTTATTGGAAAATCGGCCCTCTAAAAATTCGACACCCTGTAATTATCTATGATATGTAATGCCTAACCTGCCCGTGTTTTGTTTGGCTTAGTCTGGTCAGTAATTCACAAGGTGGCTCTTTATTTTAATAATTTAAAAAAATGTGGTGTTTTTTGCGTGTTTTCCGTCCGTCTGAACACACGTTCTACCCTTCATGGTATTCTGTTGAATCGAATCATCGAATTGAATTTCCTGCACGGCTCCTTTTCGAGATCAGTGGGTGACGGGGGTGGCCTTACCGCCCTTCTTTCAAACCCCTTATCATAATAGGGGGTTTGGGGCGGAGGGGAGCTGGTTTTATTCATGGTATTTTAATGAAAGGTCTTAACGAAAGGCATTAATCTCTACAAATCCCCTATCGTGATCGGGTATAATTCCCTATATCTCAAGAACCAAAGGCGATTGGGACGTTTGGAAGAAACATATTAATTGGCGCAGGAGAATTAATCAAATGCATTTGCATTCTACGAGTATAGCGTAGATTTTGAATGTATGCCAAGCGGCCTTTAAATGCTTAATTATGTATATAGATCCCCATCTCCATTAAACACCTACCAAAAAAATAAACATCGCTTTATCTGCGCAAGAGTTGAGCACAATTTGAAGAAAAAATATTCTAAATCGTTTCGGTGGTCTGAAAGGGAAGCCAATTTGAACGTAAAGTCTATTGTTACCTACAACGACCTATTTGTTCAGAGCTTTTCTACGATATGTCACAAAAGGTAGGTTACAATTTCTTTTGGGGGTGGTAGTAAGCAAGTTGGAACTTATACGTCCAAATATATGGCCCAAGTGGAAACAACTCAACAGGAAAGGGACATAATGTTTATAGCAAAGTTGACGGTTTCTAATTTTGAACAGAATTGTTTTTCATGTCCGACCCATAAAATCCGAGATATTTTACAACAACAAAAAACAAAATTGTTATATCTACTTTAACCTCCCTCTTAAAAATTTAGACCACCCCTACAATATGCTGCACTTTTAAAAATTCTGGAGGTACCTACCCCTTACTCCAATTCACCTTATTCTTCACTCCAAGGAGAAAATGGACTTAAAAATTCTCCTGCATTAAACCGTAATATTAAAGACTTCTATTTCCATGCAAGTTCAGGATCTCCTATCTTCACATTGGCAAGTTTTCATTTGGATCGCTAACACCAAATTTGATGACAAAGAATTCTCTTAAAAACCTATTTTCACCTTGGTGGCATAAGAAGCGAAGGCTCCCCAATCTGTCACTCTTTGATATGCAATTGGTCAGGGGGAAACTGTAGGGGTTTTTTTCGGGAGTGGATGAACAACATTATTGGTACTTGCAAAACAAAAATTTAGTCAGCGCTCTCATATTAAGATAAACATGGACCAATTATCAATGTTTAACAACTTGATGGAGAACTAAGCACATTCAAACAAAGAGCAATTTTGCCAAAAGTATTATATTTCAAACAGAGTTTAAACGAGCGACGCCAGTTTCAAATTCTTCCTTATAAACGTGAAGGACTCCCTTATAAAAAATCCCTGTTTCGTAAGTATATCATCGTAGCACCGTCTTTTCTTTTCCCAACGTTGTTTATATATTTCTCCATTCTACGCGCAGCGGAATGTAAATACATAAAAGCTCTTCTAGACCCTTAAACAAGTAACGTTTTCTGTTCCTACTTTGAAGTGCTCAACCCTCCTATTTTAATAACCAAAGTTTCTGTCATCCGTTATAATTGAAGGTAATATTTTGCACTGAATCTGTAACGTATTTACATTATTTCGTATAATTGAGGAAAGTCGACAAAGCATCAATCTCACTGTTAAAGAAAAGATACCAATTTCTGTGTTAGTGCGGTGATGCTCCACAGAGACAAAAAATGTTACAACTTTCAATGGTAATTGTATCAATTATGCTGGATGTTTTGTTATTACTATAATTTTGTTAATTAAACAATATTAAGAATTAAAAACTTTTCCCTTCGAGAGACGCGCTCCCAACCAAGCATAAAAATCTAAAATGAGTAGATCACTTAATGTAAAGAGAAACGGAATATTCAGAATGGCAATTACTCTACTAATTTCCTTTTACTTTACTCAATCCACTCACCTGAGTATGATAGTAAGGGATGGGCGTTTGTCAAATTTATGCTTCTGAACCAGACACAAAAAGTAAATTCGTCTATTACAGGAACGTCCACAATGTACCGCAGGAACTGAAAAAAATTTACCGCTTAATCCACGCGCAAAAAAATTCAAAGCTTCTCACCTGTATATATCCCTCCTGCGTGAGCGAGACTATATTAATTAAATCGCTGAATTTAGGGTGGGTATTGTGAAACGAATTTGCAATTCCGATTCCCGTTTGCTTATAGCTCGGAATTTCCGAATTTACATTAGCCCCCCAGATTATTATAAGGGTAGTTGTAATTTTCGATATTAAAGACATCTTCTATCTGAAATGCGAATTAATTGCGGCGAACTGGTAATTGCACTCGCGCGCTCGGGATAAATCTTGCCACAGATTTGTTTACTTTCAACCGGGTGCCCGCAAACTAATGAATTCTTGGGTATAGTCGCTCTTGAACGTGACCTCCTACTTAACGGTTCCACATCGAGGCTTGCACATGTTTGATTGTGGTCTGTTTTTTTTGTTATTTATTAATTAATCTGAGTATTGGTGATAACTGTAAAATCTTAGATTTCATTCTTCCAAACAGTGTAAACTATTTGTGCCAGCTTGCAAATAACACCTCCTTATAGGAAATAATTAACCCCCTTCATGGATTCTTCCTACTTATAATCATTATTAATACATATACAGCCAAAAATGTGTCGTGTGCGTCGGGAATATTTTTAACACCCATATCTTTAGTGTACACATAAGATTAGTCATTAGATATAGATAGATTTTTTTACCCCAATGCAATACCTCCCTCACTAACGTGGGGGTGGTAAAAATGAATCGCCGAACTATATGTACGTGCATAACTTCAAAACGACTGCACTAAATTAGATAATTTTTTGTTGTTGTATTTGTTATTATCAAGACAGGGTTTGCATAAAAGATAATTTACAAAAAATTGTACGGAAAGACGTAAAAAACAATTTTCCTCTTTTCCGTCGATGTTGTTAAACACTGTCCGAAATTCCCACGGGAACGTGAACATGAAAAAAACAGGATTATATGTTTTATAGTCAAAAAGAAACTTCACATTTAGGTTTCTTTGAAGGCGTGAAGGTGTACTCCGAAAGAGACGTAAAGATCTCGTAAAGTACGTACAGTTCTGTCAATAATAATTCAAATAAACTGGCCAGGTTAAAAATATGTGATGTACAGGAAAACACTCACTTTCACACGAATCTGATAGATCCTTCTGACTCGAAGACAAAAAAAAACACTTTCACACAAATTTATGACTGCTCGGATGATACGACTGCTCTTGTCTTACATTACCGGCTAGACTACCGCTACAAAACAGCGTCACAGACTTATGCTCTTTTTAAAAAAAAACCAGACAGCCGCCCGCCTTCAGCTCCAAAGAACCCCGTTCACTTTTCATCCTTCCTATTTAAGCTAAGACCACCGCCTTTTATGAAATCAACATCGTTTTTCCCGACGATATTCGAAATTCCATTACCGTCACCCGAACCAATAACCACCAGCGTTGCTTCTCTCGCACGTGGCATTGTTTATCGCAAAACCATTTTATTTTTGACACATGACCGGCTAAAAGCTTTCGAATTACGATAAATGTTCGCTTATTTATGTTCTTTAGATTTATCAAAGAAACTAAATACAAGAAGTAGAATTAAATGAATTAAACAAATATCGACTAAATTTACAACTACCACAACCACAAGAATCTAACATTAAAATTACTATTCAACAACATTTTCCAATTCCGGGTCCATTTAAAGTAAAAATCCCCATATCTTGAATTACGCTATATACAGGATGTTCCGACTACCATTTCTAATGTTCCAACCGAAATTACGTTAACAACACGTACCTGTTTTTACTATACAAGGTGGTTCGTGTTTTAATTACATCCGAAATAGTACATTTCTAAAGAAATACTGTACTCGTCTATGCATGTTGACACATAAACGGGGATATCTCCGTCGTCGTCGTGTATCCTTGTATACAGAGTAGAGTCTCCCGATCGGTCACCCGTAGCGTGTGTAAAATAATCCCTGTTTTGCCATAACTTTTACCTAAGGAAAACGACCACATTTGATACCTCTACAAATGGTGAATATATTATATAATATTATTCCCTGACAATCTCTAAATTGCCCTTGCCTATACAGGGTGGTGACTTGCGTAACGCATCATAGGGATTTCAATGTAAAATTCATAACATGCGATTATTGGCTCCCCAAATTATTTTAGAGCAAAAATGTATTAAAATTTTTTGTAGAAAAAAATTTTTTACGTCAACCAAACCGTATTGGTTTTCAATGTTTTTCATAATAAAGACGGAAAATTGGAAAAATAAACCCCCATCTTTTTCAATAATCTGTGATGCCATGGAATTTTATAATAAAAAAACTACGCCAATATCCGTCATGCCATGGAATGTCTGCTATGAAACAAATCAAATTCTATCAAAAAGTATTATATTTAGAACAGAGAATTCAACATAAAGAAAGACCAAATTACTAAAAACGGTTTCCTAATATAACAATTTACAATAAATGTTCGAATAAGTCACCATTAACTGCAATACAGTAACCAAGTCGATCATAAAATCCATTTCGAACTGCTGCTAATTGATAACTGGATGTCTTTTTGTTTTAGAAAATTCCATGGCATCGAAGATTATTGAAAAAGATGCGGGTTTTATTTTTCCAATTTTCCGTCTTTATATGCAAAAAATTGAAAACTAATACGGTTGATTGACGTAAAAAATTGTTTCTACAAAAAACCTTAATACATTTTTGCTCTAAAATAATTTGGGGAGCCAATAATCGCATGTTATGAATTTTACATTGAAATCCCTATGATGCGTTACGCAAGTCACCACCCTGTATAAACGGTATGGTACGATATAAACGGGCCATCCTGTATGTGCGAATTTTTTAATGTAATTTAAATCTGCAGGATTTCTGTACAAATAAGCACAGAATTGGTTTATTTCATTAGAATTTGTTATTTTCGTGTTTTTTTTCCATTTCGAATTGTTGCTTAATTTCTTGTTTAAATTGTATGATGTGAAAACTGCGTTATTTAGAATGAAGGAACATCTGGTCGCTTTGCGATAATGAATGTTATCAGACGGAAGTTAATTGATTTCAAGACGCACGTGTGTTTGACTCTGATAACAAAAGATACCCTTGCACGATTTCTTTTGCTGGTAATTTTGTTATGGAAAAGCGCCCCTTGTTAGTGATACATTTGAGATTGGCGGAAGTAGAACATTGAGTGGTGTTCTCTTAAGTAGGAAAAATAAGGAAGAGATGGGGCTGTTCACCTCACGACGAGAAAAGAGCGTTTACGTTTTTGTACCCTAATTTTGTCAAGTAATTAGCCTCATACAATTTTTGCCCTGCGTCCCCATGCCGAGGGATGCTACAATAATAATTTACAAATCTCTACGGGAATAATTAGAAACTTCAGCGGCTGGTTTTCCTTACAGCGGTTAAAACAAATTCTCGTAAGAAAGCGCACGTTTGAATTTTTCTAAGTACCGGGTTTTCAATAAAACTGATAGCTTTCATCAATGTACGGTGCGTTCATTAATTCTGATATAATTCCTGTACGAAAACGAGTGCTTCGTTACAAGTTGATCGATCCGAAATCTTTTTAACCAAAAGGACGGTATTATTCACTATTTTTCAAGTGTGAAAACTGTTATGGGAGGCTAAAGAACGTCCATTCCCGTTCAATTTTTTATAATTGGTGGAAATTTGCAGATTATTATATGCTCGAAGCGGTAGCCTTGTTAATTTGCTTAATTTCTATACGTATATAATTCTTATGGTGTTTTGACTTTTAAAATACCGGGTGGTAAATGAAAAACGGATATGTTATCTAAATTAACGCAAGATCCAAATGTTGCCTTTGGGAGCTACGCCCCCAAAAGTCCCAACAGGTTTTTTTCTTTAATTTTTGCGTATGTCTATATGTGTGCTAAAATGTCGTGCAGTAATTTCCAAATTGTAACTTTTTAGGTGCTTATTCAATGGCTCTCAATTTATAGTGATGTTCCTAAATGTTTGGAGTGCCGTTAATGCTCTTTTATCCTCTAAACGTTTATTTTAAATATCTGGATAGCAAAAGAGGCCGATGAAAGCACAAATTGAGAATATGCGGTTAGCCATAAAGAGGGTGCTTTTTTCTGCAATCAAAGGATCCTTTCAGAACTTTAGTAAAAATTCAAATTTTACGAATTTACCGTAAAATGTATTTTATTCAAAACCCGAAGTGAATAATCATAATAATAATAACCATTTGATCATCAATCAATTAAATTGCTAAACAGGTTATAATACACGTCAAATTTTTATTATAACGAAATCAGATTTAACCTTGTTTTTAAGTCTTACCTACATTTCATCCCTTTAGGTGGAGTAGGAACTCTCTTAAAAATTGAAATTCATTCAAAAGGTTATCCAGATTTGTTCACGGTTTGAAATGTCATCACTATCACCATAACCAGTTGCATATGCACGTTTTGAAGAATATCTCAGTTAATATCAAGTTAAATGTGATCTACATAAGTTTCAAATGATGGATCACACATCCAAGCATGCCATTCACTTTTAAGGTGTAGGCGTGAGGTGAAATTTGGCCCTCCTTCAAATTTGACTTTCGAGCAGCGTTTTAAAATTTTTCGGGGTACATATATTTTAAATGGAACAACTTGTATATTGAGTTACACTCAATAAGTAACTAACATAATTGGTATGGTCCAATGTAATTAGCATTATTCAAAACGTACTTTATTCACGTCACTCGCTTTTGCAAAAGTTTCCAATTGTTATGTAGGCTATCATGAAATCTGCCCTGACTAGCCTTATAAATTGCCTACAAACATATCCGGGGCTTCATGCGTTTAATGCGGTAATTGCATCTGTAGGTAATTATTCTAAACAGGTATTGTAAAACAAAATAAATGACTCGCTTTAAAAATTATCAAGTTTTGTTTTGCCACTTACCCGTACGAAATGAGATTTCAAGGACAGGAAAGTTCACATGCAAAAGTACTTAATATAAAAATTAATTTTTTCCATTCAGAAAATTGTATAGCGACATCTGGCAAATGCGGTAACTTTTCATAAGTCACCCATTTAACCATTCCAAATTAAGCAGCTACTTACATCTCGCAGGTCAGCTAATAACAGTATCAGTACCTACATCCGAAGCTGGTGATTTAGCGATACATACCTGAGAAAATTATGGCGTTGGTGTTATTAGGCAGAAATTAAAAAGTGCATATTTTTGTTGGCTGTAGAATCAAAGCTATAACAGTATCTAATTTAAAACCCAGTACTGTATTGTTGAAAATTTTGACAGTAACAGAATAGGCCATTTTTTTAGTAGGCACTTCTCCTCTTTAGCTGCCATTATTACATTATAATTACAAAACATTGCTATTGGAGGAATATGTGTTTAATTTATCTTTTTCCTTGCAGGGAAGTACTGGCAAAGGTGCACCATACTATATGGGTTCGACAACCAGCTTACCAAGAACTGGGCCGCTACTGAGGCCGTATTCGCCCGCTGTGGGAACGTTACCACCGGACCGTTTGAAAACATTACCCGCAGGTAGTCGTATATTAGTCGTTTTGTTTTCCTAAAATACCTACGTTTCGGACGAGACCAATAACTAAAAGCAAAATATTAGTCACCATCGCAATTAAATTGTTGAAACGTGGTAGATCAGTAAATATCTTCATGTTCAAAGGTGCGCCCCCAAAACCACAACGAGCATATTCAAGCGGGACGTCTCGTTCCAGCGATGGTTCCTCTAGACCACCAGATCGATTCGCCCCTTTCCAAAGGCCTACCAATCCTCTTTTTAATTTACCAGGTGGGTGCACCACCGTACGAATTTGACAAGTTTTGAGTAGGATGTTATTTTTTTTTAATTTTTCCAACTCATAATACCTTTCCAAAAAATTGCAACTAAAAGCTATATGAAACTGTGCTTAAGTGCCTAATAGCACTTTTCGATACATTCTGGAGAGCTTCTCCTGAACGGATAATGGAATTCTACTTACCTTTTTGTTTCTTGGCTTAGAGCTTTTGTATGCATGTCGTTTTTTAAATTACTATCGCGTCCCATATAATGCCAGCAATGACAGGAAGTACTGATTATATTGCTTCTTGAACACGATTACTTTATAAATTTGCTGCCAATGTTTCAATTTTAGGTTTAGGTACGTGCTTCATCTGCAGTAAGGTGCGAATCGAAATCTTTATTTGGGCGTCCTTAGCTTTTATGAGCGTTTAAATGCTGATTATTTTCTAATGCATAGTTAATAAATCGGCGCTGCTATAATTTTACAATAAATAATAGACAAGGGACCCGTAAGCGAAACTGTAGGGCATAATCAAGGAAATCTGGTAAGAATATTAAAAAAAAGTCACGAAACAAAGGTTGAAAATTTATAATTTGGGCGTAAATACGACAATACTTTTAGTAAATCCATTTCGCCTCAAACACTGTGTAAGACAACATTTTCTGTGCCTGCAGGCAAAAGTAAAGGACTGAAGGTTCACTTTACCGTATTTCAATTAGAAATTTCGCGTTTTTATTTATTGAATCTCTTACTCATGCCAAACACCTTTTAGAAATGAGATTTACAGGGTTTAGAATTGAAATAGATCTATATTTTCTCTATTCAACTTTTAATTACAATTCAAAAGGTTAAAATACAAAGAGAGTCGCACCATTCTCAGGAATTGATTACATACAGGGTGTTTTCTGGGAGCTTTCTGGGAAAGTGAAATAGGTTACCGAATCAATGTAAAATAATTTCAAAATGGTAGCTCTTCCGGAAATACTGGAAGTAGCTGGTAACTTCGTTATTTTAAATGGCAACCCCCACTTTTGTATTCTGCGTGAAATTTCAATTCTTTTAATACCCACATGTCGATATGTACAATGTATGGTTTTTAAGGTATTTTGACTTTAAAAAAATGTCGGATGCAGACGGTACCTTGAAAATTGATTACTTGAAAACGATTGTAGTTATGGCAACTCATTTTTACCAGTGCATAGAGAAAAAATTAGGTTTTCTTTTTGTGTACTAAGTTGCTCACGACCTTAACTATGGAGATACAAATTTAATAAATTTCAAAGACTAAGTGCTCAGTTTTTTTTAATGAAATGACCATTTTCTTACTATTGCATTTGATAGAGAATCAAAATTGGCATATTTTGATATCATGTTCCTATAGCCATATTTAACAGTTTCTGCCTTATTCCCATTTCATTGATTTGATACCATTTTTTTCGGATCTTCTTTTTAGTAGTCGGACATGACTTTATGACAATCGAATTTTAAACAAATCAAGGAAAGATTCCTTTAATATCATTGATTCTAATCTACATAATTAATTAATAATAAAAAGGCGACAACGTGATCAGCTAATTGGAAATCACAAGCTTATACAAAAATTAGATCAAATTACTTGAAAACCCCCTCATTTTCAACACATGCTCAAAATGAGAGCCTTTGTGTTGCAAACATCAATTCTTTTTAATGGTGAATAATTTTTTAAAAAGAAATTTAAACCATCCGTGTTGGTTTTTAGATAAAAACATCAACCTTATATTTCCAAAGACGGGCCCGGTTGATTTTTTCGTTTTTGAGTAGCTTTTGATCTGCAAAAACAAACGTCATTCGTTCTGGGAGATCAACAGTGAAAAAGAATCCAGATCCGTATTAAAATAATAAAGTTGATGTTAGTATGTAAAAAAAGAAAGCTCTCGTCAGAATTTCGTAACGGTTTGATACGAGACCCCAATAAAATTGACTGCATCAAAAGAATTTCTATACCTACCAACATGAGGGAGCTACAACAATTTCTGGGGGCTATCAATTTTTATGGTAAATACTTCCATAAAAAATTTAAATGCCTACTCGACGTTCTACTCAAGAGAAACACCACATGGTGGTGGATTTCGGATCAACAATTGGCATTCGATAAACTGAAGAAAATATTACAGAGTACAAAATACAGTTTCTGTACGTCTGTATGTTTTGGCGACTATCCCGACGAAATGGATGATGAGATTGTGGGAAATTATCCCGAAATGGTCGTTTAAAAAAGTTCTTTCTTGCATTAAGAGCTATTAAATGAGACATTAACGAACTCTCTATGACTTTCATGCACTTTAAAGTAAGTAAAGCAAAGTTGCTGTTGCTGTTTACCATGGTATTGGCAGTGGTATCACAACAGCAATTAATTTCGCTCGTTGTCTCTAATGAAAAAAATGTCTGCACAAACCGTAATAATAACGCAGCTCGCTTGAAAATCGCCCTTTTTTGCTTCAGTAGACACCTAAATGTCAATTTTTAACATTACTAATTACTTTGATTTAGATGGTTATATGTCATCTCCAGAACGTGGTTCGAGGGGATACGAAGATCCGTACTACAGTCAGTACACAACCCGATCTGGTTCTATTACCCCAGTAATAGACGAAGAAGTAAGGTAGGTCTCTTCCGCTTCCGGTCTTGTACAAGTTGTAACACACGTGAATTGCAGTGACACAGAACTTTTAGATGAGCAGTACTCGCTATATGGCGTTAAACTACCATCCGGCGGTCCCAGAGGTGTTAGATCGCAATTTCCTGGACCCGCCGCCGCACCTTATGATACTACAAGGTAAATTTTAAGCGATCGTTGAAATAGTAATGTCTCAATATTCTAATTAAAGAGCGAATTATAATAGGTTGCGAGTCGAACATATGGAAAGACAGCTAGCAAATTTAACTGGTCTTGTACAAAAAGCTTTAACGCAAACACCACCGTCGCGCGATTTTCTAGCACCGCCCGGTAGAGATTCATATCGTTCAGGTAAGGTTGTAACTATTTATTAATTAAGAGCAATTTATGTTTTGCACTTGTATTTCTGATAGAACTAGTAATGCATCTTGTATGTTTTGCTAGTTTGTTAAGTGTTAGGCGGTTGGGGATATTTAAGGTTTTTTGACATATTTCGTAGAATCATATAATTTCCTTGATAGTGGTTGAACGTCATGGGGGGTGGGGTTACTTATATATAACTATTACAGTAGCGATGCAGTAGGCACTTATTGTACAATCAATCATTTTGGGCATGATCGAACTGGATACTTGATGTGACGAAACGTCATGCTTCATGAGTCCATATTAAACGATCGACGGGTTATTGGTAGTTGGAAGTATTGTTCGTTCAATACCATACATTCTTTCGAGGGTGGCTTAAAAACCCTCTCCTCCTTTAGAAACGGTGTGTTAAAACAAAAGAGTATATTCTCTTTGGTTAAAGATAAAGTGCCAGGTGTTTCGCACGAACAATATTCTGAACCAACGATGTGTCGAATAAAGAAAATGTATCTGTCAAATATTGTCAATTCGACGTATCTCAGTCTCTGACCCAATGAAATTTGGTATTTGGATGTCTTTCAGCATGAAAATAACCAACACTTCCCAACGGTTGCCAACATTAATAGTATAATAACAATAAACAATGATTTACCTACCTACATTTACATATAGCATGTTCTCTAAGACCACATGATTATAAAACTATTGGAAATCCATACTCACCAATATCTTTTCTGGGCAAAACTCTCGACTTTTAATAATCTATCTTATTCATATAGGTATACGGTGCTGTTAACTTGTTTTAATGTTCATGTGAAAATAAATAAATAGCCAAACACATATCATGGGCGAAAGAGGTCATGGTTTTATTAGGAGATTAAGTAACATGACACAATTTAAGCAATTTCCAGCTAAAACTTCCCTAGAATACCTAATATTGGAATTATTGACTTATGCCAGAGTGTTGAATAAAGTTACAAGCGTGTGCGGTAAATTCGCCCCGGAAAACTCATCCCGGTAAATCATGAAATCCCCCCGTATTATTAGTCCCCGAAAAATTGGTTTGGTTTTGGAAATTTTGCGGTCACAATTAATGTCAAATATATCTGGGACGAGTTTTCTTATTAAAAAATGTCCCGAGAGCAAATTTTCGTAAGGGGATGTATACGTGTGAATTACCGGATATTAGGGGGGGGGGGGTAAATATACAGGTTGTAAATACTCTGGGGCAACCTTCCAGGGTGAGTATACCGGGTGGGGTTTTCCCAGACTTACCAGAGTGAGTAAAAATAGGTGAAATATGTTCTTTCTTTCCCATCCTGATACTCATACTGGAAAATATCTGAGATAAAACAGGAATAAACAGTGAAATTTGTTTTTCCTGATCCTGAACAATTTTGTTATGATACCTATATAACAGTAAAGATGGAACTAAAGCTGAGGTTTTATGGTACATGGATTTTTATTGAGATTGCCATCTTGAATTTTTGTAAAAAGCGACATTGGTCATGTGATACGTCATTGGGAAGCTTATTTTTGCCTCTTTCTTACTACCTTAATCATGTAAATCATGAAATAACTGAGATATTACGGAAAAACTGGAAATGTCAAATTTCGTTTTCATTTTCGGTCGGAAAAGGCGGTAAAAAGTCAAATAGAAAACAGTGGAAATACAGGTAGGTAACGCATATATGATGTGACCCCGCAATTGAAGCGTTTCTGCAACCTATGATGTAGGTACGAATTACGATCTGTTTTACCATCCGCACGTTAGCATGGGAGGAAGTGCCCCCTTCCCCACACTTTCTTTACGGAAATATACGTTTTGGAGCACAAGGAATCCGAATCAAACAAAATCTCGATTATGTCGGCCCGTCTGTCTGTCTGATGTACTCTCATTTCCGGCTAAACGGTTGAACCGATTGGAACAAAATTTGATACACATTTTCTTAGACATAAATGGGCAGAATCGCCCATCCGCAGATGTGCGGGTGGTATATGTGATTACCACAGCAATTTTTGTTTTGTTTTGTATTTCAATCAAAATCACTTGCAGTTGTCAACACTAGCTCATTCTAGAATTGAACTAATAGAAAAAGCTAGATCAAACAGCGATGCCATACGTAAGTCATACAAGGGCCGTTGACCCGAAGGTGTGTTATTTTGATGTTGAAGACATTCAGATCGGTTTTGTTGATACATTTTTCAACCCAGCACCAATTTCCAAGTTGGGTACTTAAAATGCACATGCTGTAAATTACGATACATATTATAGACAACACCACACTTGTTTATGCTATTTGTTTGTGGATAAATATATATTTCACAAGTGCTTGAATGGAACTAACGAAGACTAGTTGCTTCTAAATAGTGTTTGTTTGCTAACATCACCATTTCTCCTGCAGGCGATGAGTTCGATAAGAACTCCAGTTCAAGTTCAGCTTCTTTACCAGGTTTGTAAATTCACTTGCTTATGTTACGCTTAATTAAAACACGATTTCTTTGTTTATTTCTCGCATATTTGTTCAATCGCTGTGGGCACATATCATATCTTCTTTTATTAAAACTAGGTACACCATTTGAAAAAAAATGTTTTCTACAATATAATATAAACCACCAGTTCGTAATTTTTTTTTCTTCAAAAAATCGTCACAAAATAACTGATTTTGTTTGATTTTGTGGTATTTTATCATGCTATGTTCAATAAATTACTTACCACGTATATACAGTGTGGTCCAAATTCATATATCAGAATATAGCGAATATCTTCTGAAGTGGTAACTAAACACTGTGAATTTTTAAGAGATTAGTGCAAATGGACCACACTGTAGGTAGTATTTGCTATGATGCATTAAAACGCCTTATAGGACGTCTCAATTACTTCCCGTTACTTAGACGGAAAAAATAGAATGCAAATTGGATACTGCATTGCCTTAAATTTTGAAATTCTGACACGAAATTGTCCCCACTATTTTTTTCTTTAGCTACTTAATGTTTGCGTTAGTCTTAATAAAAATTAACCACACAATATTTGTCTATGTTGGCAGATGACTCTTACCACCGGTCAGACAGCATTAAAACACCCAAATTGGGTAAAAGTAGCTGTCGTAAGTCTATTTATCGTATATAAGCATGTTTCTATTTGTGAATTTACTATTACTCTGGTATTTCAGTATTCACTTCAAGATTTAACGTGCACGTTTATACATTTTGAAATTGAAAGATTTTTTAAAATAAATTCCATTTTGCCATTTCATTTCCTACATTATTACATTATACTACATTTACAAATAATTTTGTAATGGACACGTAATCGTCGATTTTTTTTTAGATAAATCGGTTTCCTTTGAGAAATCAGTTTCATTCAGTGATGAACCTCCGGATATGAATTCGCCCAAGCAACATAGTCCGCAGCATGCAGGTAAACAAAAGAAAGTCTTCATGCATGTATAGCACTACCATTTTTTCGAGCAGAGATTTATTTGCTTCCGTTAATTTAGTGAGTTTGAAGTAGATTAGAATTTCTATTATATTTTCCTTTCATTTTGTTATTCTAGACTTTTTATGTAGTACGTATAAGTACAGTAGAATAGGTCTTTTATCATTATCTCTTCTGTTTAAACAATAAAATCGCGATGACGATTGCAGTTTTATTTTTTGAAATTCGCATGCACATTTTACACACAATATACCTACATTTCGAAGGGATCTGGGATTTTTTATGCATGAAGGTGTAATTTAAACTAACTGGTGGTTTTGTGGTGTGGTGCTTCTTGTAGCGGATACTAAACCTCCAAAACCTGCAATCAAATCCTCTACACTTCCGAGGACTTCATCACAGGGTAAGTTGGCACCATATACTATTTATTAAATTTTCTATCTCCAATTGAAGTCAATAAAAGAGAACCGTGCTATTTTAAGTGACCACCTCCTAAAAAGCGTTATTCTCAGTTGAAGTGGATTCATTTGAATTGATTCGTAATAGTTCGAAATTTCAAACGTCTTCCAAAAATAATTGCAAACATAAAATGACAACATGTGTAATTAATAATTGTTTAATAAACTGTACGCCAAAGTAGTAAAATCAAATGTGTTTTCTTACTTTGTGAACCAAATTGTAGCCTGAGAAGTCAGTTTTCTATTGGAACACAATTGCATAATTTCTCTCAATAAATGGCAACTACCTATGTATACTAAAATTGGTGATTCTCCTTTACATAAATTAATTAGCTTTTGTATTCCCAGAAAAAGATCGCCTAAAACCCGCCCCACCTCCGAAACCCGCGTCTCTATCGCCTGGTCAGTACGATGGCCGTCACATATACAGAGATTTGCAGCTAACGCCGGAGATGTACAATCAGTTGCGTGGATTGCAAAAGAAAGCGAAAGATCTGAGGGCAGAAGTGCGAAATCTGCGTAGAATGTCCCAGGCGCAAGCCCATTCCGTCAAGGAAACGATACGGGACACGTTCATAAAAATACGCGCCACACTGATGGCCGGCGGTGAGCAAGTGTGGCAAGCGGGTAAGTTGAGAGGTTCGTCTTCGAGTCTACAGTTTTAATTTCGCAGGAATGGACCAGGAGAGGATACGTTTAAGTAGGGACGAAGACTTGTATAAGCAGGAAATGATCAGGCTCGAGAAAGATTTAACAGATCTGGAGGCGTCTGTGGAGGAACTTAGAGGTAATGTGATTAATCGGAAAACTAGAGTTAATATGTCAGATGTGGAGAATATGGCCTTAGTGCTTAGTAAAAGCTCGAAAACTGTAGCGGATTTAAAATTGCGGTTCGTATATGCACCACTTGTATACCATGGCATACTATTCAAATGTTTAGGTTTCCTGGTCTGCAAGATAGTATGAAAGCGTTTTTAAGCTCGGAAATGGACAAAGTGGTGAGAGAAGAAAAATTTTTAAAGGAAGAACCTGAAAGATTAGAAAGTGCGTTGAGGAGGTGTAAAAAATTGACTGGCACCCTTGTTACATTAAAAAGGTCGCGATACACATTAAACAATTTGTTATTTAACATTTATGTTGTAGGTTGGCAAGTGTCCAAGAGCAGCGTTTACCATGTTCCACAAGTGCCCCAGATGGACGAATATCGCCAAGTATCACAGAAACTCCACCGACAACTCCAAATTCCGCGCAGCATAGTAAAGTATGTATGAAATTCTTTCTTGTACTTTCTGTGTATTAACCTGCATGATTAATGTGATTGTGAATCAATTTATACATATAAATTAACTTTGTAGCGGATTTGGTATTTGGTGTGTATAAATTGATTCCAGGTCTAGCGTTTTATTTCAGAACAATGCACTCATGTTTTGGGCAAAAAGGTGATCTTTCATCTGAAAAGATGCAATATACGCATTTCCAATGTTACCTTAGCTATTAATGCCCCTTCCCTTCTTCTTTCAAGTTATGCTGCATTTGTAAAAACTTTTATCTTTTACCTTAGTGAGTTTTATTGTATAGGTACCTACTGTTTTAGTATGAAGGTTGACTTGAACAGGCGCTTGGCCTACTGATACACACAGCATTGGACCTTTGCACACTTCAGGTACATCATACACGCACAATGCTATTTCATCTTCATTATTTTGGAAAACATATATAAGTGATGCACAACCATTTTAGATTATATTACTTGCTAAATGTCCTATGTCTACTACCACAGTCCAATGAAGCTATGCTAAATGTATCTACCATGAATACATTCCACAACATTAATCTGTTGGAACACATTTTCACGTTATTTGCACGAATTAGTTTCGTAATTGACTAGTCAATACCTGTTACCCAAGCTTACAATTTTACATGAATGATTACATGCTTGATTACCTATAGTATTTTTATCTGTAATTTTGATCGTTTAGGCCATTTGGCAGTTGCCTTTTTCCTAATTTCGTTATTTTCATCGCGCAAAAGATTGTATTGTTTTCACATTACCTACTTATATGATCAAAGACTCTGCTATGAGTTACAGAGGTATATCAGGGTGATATGATATCTTCTGTTTCTTCTTAGAATATCAATCATGTACTACGTCCACAAAATGTCAGTATTAACTGCTGCTTCAAAGCCAAAATTATAATTTCTAGAAAATTGATTAATGTACAGACGGTATCTTAAGCCAACTGGTATTCGATAATTAAGAATCGTATTCTTATTTCTCTGAAAATTACCTACATATACAATTCATCATTATTCACATACTTTTAGTATGATTCTTGTAATTTCTGAATATATAATTTCCTTTAACTTCTCCCCAAACTTTGTATTTTTAGGAAGTATAACAAACGAAGTTTTACTTTAGTTGATTGATGTTCACATATTGCCCACCTTATGCGTTCTAAAACTACGCTACACAAGTTTCTCATTCGGTATAAGTAGGTAACTGTAGGATGCTTTTTATAAAAGTTTATGTTTATAATAAATTTAGAGCAAAATTGCAATATTGAAGTTTTACACAGTTACGAACAGAATTCGTTTAAGTGAAATGTCTTAAAAGAATATGAAATTTTAAATAAAAATATTCAACTCATACTAACAGTCATTAATAAAGGAACAGGGCTATTGTAACGTAAATTTAATTTGGTGGTTTTATTTATTACAACTAATTATTAACAGTCCGAAAGAGTAATTATTATTTATCACTTACAATTTACAACATAACACAAGCGCATCGAAGTTGGAACTGCCTCGAAACACATTTCGGTGTGCTTTGCTTATATAACAAACAACATTCTTTCTAGAATATTCTCGAGTGCTTAAGGACGGTTCAGAATGTTCTCGAACAAACACGTTATATTTCTCATAAATATTACGTCACATCCGCCTTTGTCCTTTACCGCCGATGACGAATCTGGCATGGCGCCTCGACGTCTATAGAGAATGTTGGATTGTTCGCTACACTGCCCCCCTCTTAAAAGTCTCGCAACACGGACGACGGTGGTAGCGGAGACACAGTCCGGGCAACTCTGGTTCTGTAACGCGAACTTGATAGCGGTACTTGCACTAAGACCTCTTCGTACATCTTCCGTCTTAAAGAAAGAAACAATCTACCCTCTTACGAATATGTTGAGGGATTCATCTGATGGGATTAAAGCAACAAAACAATATTTTCATCCCGGTGCCCTGAAATACCACCTCCAGTATATTGCGCACGATGCGTCGGTCTAACTTATAAAGACCACGTCCGATTAATTATTTGCGTCCCTTTAAAAGGCGTACTTCTTTGTAGCAGTAATTGTTTTGGATTTTTTCCTTGTATTTCACGACCTCTTTGGATACGTGCTGCCGCCCCCCAGGGGGTCTCGACTCACCGGTTGAGAACCATTGGTGTAGGTACATCACAATTATAAAGCATCTACATACGCAAGTCAACGTTCATATATTACAAAACATCGTGAAAGCTGCTGATAAAATTTTTTACAAATACCTACCTATTTTTCTCCATAATTTTGCCTTATATATCTGATAGTATAAGCTGTTTTTAATTTCAACTTACATTTTGCACATATTTATATAATTTGAAATGTTATTAATATTATTCATGTTTGTGCTTCTAACATTCCTTCTTTGCCAACACCTAGTCTACAAATTTCTAGCTTCAAGTCCCCTAATGACACCTTCTTAGCAGCACATAGGTAATACAAATTTGACTAAATTTGATTTTTGAAATTCCAATTCAACAGAAAGTTTTTGAAATATGCCATTTGAGAATTTGGTTTTGCATTGTGTGTTGCCCACCGGTTGTCCTTAGAGGCCTTAAGAAATCTTGTTGCCATTTGTTTGATGTAGTAGACAGAACAGCAGACCATTTAATTATACTCTCACTCAACAATTAAAATGTTAAATGATCTGTATAATAGAGCCGTAGGATAGTAACATATCTCACAATTTCACCACACATAATATTATACCTATGTATAAAGCTTACGTAGCATAAATGTTTACACATCCATAACCCGCAATTGCAAATCATATCATTTTTTCATTATATATACACACGGATTGGCAAACCACAGAGCATCTGAAACAGTGTTTTTGTTATTTCATGTAGTACGGCTGGAAGTGGAGTTCTAACTTCAAGGAAGCTATAACCACTCACGAGTAAACTAATTATCCGTTTATAAGTGCTTGCATATTTTTTTATTGAATCGTACGTGATATGATCATGAACTGTTTCATAAATTTTGGCTGAAACATGACGTAATCTATGGGTCCTTTTCATTAGTAGCTAATGCAATTGCTCAAATTACACCTCTGCTCTGTTAGTGGACCTATAAATTATGGAGAATATTGGATGATTGCTTTTATGAATTGACTTTGACCTTTTCCTTATAGTAAGGTGTCATTGGAAATGTCTAAAATCACTACCCTCACTTTGCAAAGTTGCAGCAAATTTATCACACTCAAAACCTGCATAAGAATAACGCAATATTATGTAGTTTATATTTTTAAATACACACACTATGCTTAGTAAAGAGTTGAAATCATAACATTTTTTATTTTGTAGATAGTTTTGCTTCATTACATTTTTCAATTACTTTGTTCGTTTTACAAGTGCATTCCATTGTATTTTGGTTTCGAGTCTGCACTCGTCGTGGCCAAGTGCAAAATTGGAAAAAAGTATAGATTTGCGCCTAAATAGGATGTACTTGTCTTTTTTGTATATTTAGCTTATGTAGTTTGTACGTATATATAGCTTTCCGCTTATTTTGAAATACAATTTAAAAGTAGTTGATACATTTTTCGGTTGGCAAACTCTGACCTTACTATAAGGGAAACAGATTTTATGATTTGCATGCGTTCCTAAATCCGTTGACAAAATTTACTTTTGTTCACGCTTTTGTTATTGCTTCCGCTATTAGTCTATTGCATGCGTTGTATGATCTTTGCTTGTCGCTTGTGATTTTGCATATTGTGTTAAATGTATAAGGTCATTTTTAATGGTATCAGTTAGGAATGTACAGCAATTATTAACTTTTATTTTTTCTTTTTATTTTTTAATGTAGTCGTTGTTTCAGTTGGATACACCCCAAAATCAATAGTTGTGGTGACTTTTTTTGCACATTAGGTATTCTTTGTTGAATTAGAAGGTAAACTGAACATTTTTATCCATTTAAATATGCCTTGTTCCTTATACTTTTTCATCGTCCGACCGATTTTTCCACCTCTAGATACCACCCTATATTTCATATTCATGAATTCCCAGAAAGCATGACCTATTTTCATCTTTATTTCTTATGATATTGGTAATAATAACGAGAAATGGGTAGTCATTTTTTAATGCAAGTAAAGTTGGTGTAGTAGAAGCAAAAAATGTATTAGTTGAAAAATAGAGAAATGATTCACCATTACTTACTGATCAATTTTCATACAGATTTCGAGATGTGATCCACATATTTACCTTAGCTTAAATGTTTATAATCAATCAGTCAGTCAGTTGTCCATAATTAATTTTTAATTCTGAGGAAACTTCAATCTTTAATCATCCACAAGATATATAGGCCCACTAAAAAAATTACAAGAAAGTAACGTAAGACTTGTTATTAGTATAAATTAAAGCGTCAGGATTAAATTACAAAGTTGAACCAATTTAAGCTCTAAAATCATATTTACTAAGATAGAGAATGGGAAGTACTGTAGGTACCTAGTCAATATTGTTATTTGGCTGAGTCACTTTGTCTATTATAAATAAAATACTTAGCAGTTATGCCACCATATCATTTTCTCTAATGGAGTTTTCTAGTTAAGCATGTAGATTTATTTGTTGCTTACCTTTTGCTTTTTGTGTAATATAATTTACTATAGCTCTTATACCTCACATACATGAGCCTATTTATTTCTAGGCGGCTTTATACACAATTTGCTACTGCGATTTGCTGCTTTACGCATTCCAGCAGTTAATAATTCGTAAAAATGTTGTAGGGCTCATCTGTGCTACCTGTAGGTAGAGAGTGTTGTATGGAGGTTTTATAAGTTATCTTTGTCCTACCAAGTGAAGTAGGTAATAATTGCCATAGTGCGCTATTTTACTGCCTACAATTCGTAAATTTTGCATTCCTTCCATTAAACATTTTGTATAGGAGACGGTCAAATGCAATATGATGTCAAAAGTATTTTACAATTTGCTAGGTAAATCAAGATGAATTTGAGACAAAATGAATTTACATATTGACCAATGCCAAAAGCTTTGTTGTCAGTACCTGGAATATTAAAATTAAATAAATGTTATGTTCTATGATCGACTGATTTTGTTTTCTCTAAGTTGAGCATAATAAAAAGTATCGAGCGGATAAGAAAAATCTGTAAAAAAAACTGAGTCAAATATGAATTAATCACTGTAGGTAGCATGAATGTGTCCAATCTTTGTAGTATAAACGAGTGAATCTATCATTAAAGCTTGCAATAAGCTGTTAATTATGCATCATACAACAGGAATAAGAATATTTCACAGAAAATGTTGAGACCAAATGATTACAATATCTCGAAACTGTATCCAGACCAGATAGAAATTTGCTACTATTGAACAAGCTATTAAATTGCAATAATAATTTAGTTCAGGAATGCTATAGAAACGAGCATATTTAACTTTTTACAAAGCCATATTAACTTTCATCTTCTATTATAATAAGAAATCTGCAAAGTTGATTAACTGGTTTTTTTCTATTACATAGCCCCCTACCGGCGCACGCGTGGGGCAGATCGGCTTCGGGGGAGACAATTCCAACGCCACCGACAGTAACCAACGTCCGGAGAACGCACTCGACGCTTTGTTAGATGAATTGCAAACATTTTCAAAACCACACTCAGCCACCGTTAATACTCAAATGCCTCAAGCTTCTTATTCAGATTCAACTCCTTCTGATCCGCCTGCCATACCAATTAAAGGTATTCCACCTTCACATAGCGCTCATTTTAGTCATCCCCACATATCGGAGGTTGGTAGAAAGGGTAGTATGGATTCGGCAGTCATATTACCTACGCAAAACCTTACCGTGACTACAGCAACTGGCAGTTTAAGAAGGCTTCATTCGTATCCCAGTGGGTCTGACACAGACAATAGTCCTCCCATTCAGCCATTGAAGTCGCAACTAGATGGGAAATCTTTTAATAAACCTCCAATTCCTGAACGTAATGCGGATCTATTTCAGCATATTTCGGGAAAACGCGTTCCACCCCCACCCCCTCCCAGAACCAGTTCCAAATCTCCTTTGGCATCGCCCACGTCACCTAGTCTACCCCCCAGATCACCCGCAACCGGTTTACAACATATCCAAAATGTACAAAGCGTGGCCGAAAAGCCTCAGTCTCAGTTTGAAGCGGCCACACAGAACTTGGGCTTAAGCACTTTACGTCGTAATGTTCCTAATAGATCTAGTATAAAAGACAACAAAGCTCAAACACTCCCAAGAAATATAGGCTCAAATCTACAGGTTCACACGCAACCACCAGTAACGGGCAGCGAATTACAAAACGTTAGCAGCAGCAGTTGCGAAAGTGTCAACTCTCAGGACGGAACAAAAAAAGGATCGAGAAAGGAAGAATTAGAGCAAAGGCATCAAGAACTGCTGAAGAAACAGCGAGCGCTTCAAGAGCAGTACGCTAGACTACAACAATTGCAGAGAGGAAACAACACCCTTGCTGTAGTACCACCCGCCCCAGATCAATTGCTTAAAAAAACCGGCAGCGAATCCAACTTGCTACAAAAAATGGGACTTCAGTTGGCGACTACTCAAATGACAGGTTCACTCACACATTTGCCTAGTACGACTAGCATCGGCAACAATAGTACCAGTACATCCACAACACAATCTCTTAGCTCTACTACCGCTGATAATACTACCGAAAACAACATTAATTCATCAACCAATAAAGTATACGAAACAGATATACTGTGACTAACCATCAATAATAGAACCCAAACCGTCTGTTGATTAGTTGCTAAATAAAAATAGTTTAATGCCTATCGATTACTTATGTTTGATTTGCTTGTTCCAGAATTAACTCTATGGTCCTAGTTGGTGACGATTCTGCATGTGTAGTGAGCATGGGAATACCTATTCGATGACTGTTAAATAATATATACAGTTAAAATCAATAAACTATTACAACTGTTATATTTGTATAAATCTTAACTAAAGTAGAAAGTAATATAAATACGAGGGACCCAACCATATATATCATCTGTTCATCTCTCAAAACAAGCAAGTATCGTATTTGTAAATAGCGCAAAAGTAGAAAAGAATACGCTGTAGCGGATAGTAGCTTATCAAGCTCACGGCATGCACATTTGCCATCAGCTAGAAGTTGTATTGGTTTTTAGAGTTTAGAAAATAGCCAGAGAGGATTTGGGGTTGTCTCTACCAGATTTTAAACTCTCTCTAGCTAGATTTCTACACTTATTTAACACATCTGATGATCATTGCAATTTGATTTATTCCTCACCGAGTTATCAATAGGCATTTCTCTATTTTCATTTAGTACCATTATTATTCATATCATAAAAGTATGATATAGATGTTACATGTACTGATCGTGTTCAAAAGTTGTCCAAAAGTTGTTGACCAGAAAAAAACAAATTTTGTACTTCGGTTGAACGATTTTCCATAACAGATGCTGGAATAGGTGTAACATAGGAGTAAGAAATTTGAACTGTTGCAGCTTGTTCTAATATAGCAAAGTTTGCCAAAATGCTCAGTAGTTTGAATTTTGCGAGAGTAGATTTAGTTATCTAACAGTTAAGTTCCTTGTTAAATTTTTTTAAAGAAAGTATTTATTTTTGGCAATTGCAATATTTGTTTATTCACTTTGGCACATTTCCTTAGCTTTTGTATTTTTTAATGTAAATAAATGCGTCTAATTATAATGATGTTTTTGCACGAGTCCACATTAAGATGTTATAACACCACTATTTGTCATTTATATACCTACATTGTTTCTGAACGTGACTGTATATACTTATACAAATGATTTCTAAAATATCAATCGTAAAACAACATTGGATCTAATGTACCTATGTACTAAAACCTTTCATTTGTATAAAATAAAACAGAACTTACGAATGTTGCTCAAAGTGTGTTTTTAAATAAGTTACATCTGAATGAATTTAGCACTACCAAATTAAAGATTTCGTTTTTATATTTACATACCTAATGTAACATTACCGAAGACGTGATGTAGTATATCAATTACCTACAAAACCCAAAAATTATCAATATAAGATACAGGGTGGATGCAGCACATAATATACAATAGCACTTAAGTCGGATCATTTTAATTTTCTAAAGCACTTCATTTCATCGTTGCCCTGTATGAGATGACTGTAGAAGAACATGGTTGTGCTAATGCTTTTTTACAGAGTGTTTGTAAACTTTATTAAAGTGTACATTCAGTTATATCCATTTTGCTAGAGTGGTGGCTGCTAACGACTTAGGTGCCAATGTAAAATTTATAATTGTAATTAAATATTAAATACAACATTTAAAAGATAATTAAGTAATTCTGTTTATTTTAATTAGGGATTCACGTTCACTACTTGACTTGATTTCCAAGCCACTTGCCTTGATTGACACAACTTAGAATGAGGCCAGGTGAAAATTGGCAGTCAAGTCAAGCCACGTGTATATCAAGCTGATTGAAATGTCAGCAGTTGTTAAAGCTGTCTAAGAAACAGGAATAAGTGGTGCACTACAAAAATTACAACCCCTGTATTGGAGAACTAATTTCAAAAGTATTTTTATACTATATAATATAGTAGTAGAACCTACAGGACTACAGGTATATGAACCCATCAGTGAGTTTTGTATGTATTATTCTAAAAAAAATTTATCACAAAGGTAAACATGTTATTTTTAATTATAGTTTAGCAAGCGCCACAAATTAATTCCAAGTTAAATTTCCGGTCTTAGGGCCCTTTTTTTAAATTACCAATACCTTTACATTATTAGAAAGTCAGTTTTCATGGAAAACAGACTTATATTGTATATGTTTATCAGAGTCTCCTGAAGGTCGCGATCCAGCCCAAGACCTGTTTGAAGTCAAAGAGAGAGTAAGACTTTCCAGAAGCGGCCACATAAGGCTGGACATCTTTTCCGTTGGGTCCGAAAATGCAGTTCCACTTTATTTGATTTCTGAGTGAAGATGCAGAAAGGTCAAATATCCCTGTGAAAGGTGAATAACCCCGGGGTTTATTAAAATTTTTTGAAATACTTAGCAGTTTTTTAGGGGTAACGTCGAGAGCTGTTAGGGTACCATATTTTGAAATAGAAAAGAGAAAACAAATTCTCCTGGCTTTATTGTTCAGCTCTAGATACTCTAGCTAGATATTAATATTACGAACCAAGTGAGGCCGCCGTTCTCTTAAACAATGGCGTCTAGTTCGAGGAGAGCGTCCATTTTGATGCACTCTGGAAGTGACAGCTACTTTTATTTCAGTTTTGCGGATGTCATCTGCCGGCGCCCGGCCAAATGCGTCGCACGCCACTTGGGAGCGTCGCTGAGCGATTTAGCATGTTGTGCCCGCGACATAGAAGCACTGCAAAGACGCGCCATAGAATCCCTTACCTTGCTACTCCCTCGCGTCACTCTGCAGCGCTTCAAAAACGCGTCGTGCGAAGGGGCTCTTATGGTTTTTTAAATTATGTTTACTACATTATTTGCGTAAAAATTTACGTAAAAATGTCCATGCAACATTCCTCTGGAGAAAAAACGATTTTCTACAAAAACTGCTCTAGCGTTTACAAATCAATTTTTTTGAAACTTTTTATTTGCTTTTTAATAAACTTTCAATATATAACATACTCAAAGCAGCTCGCGTCAGATGGTGCGCGCCCTTTTGTCCCCCGCCCAATCGTTCCCGCGCCTAAATGGTACGTACCATCTTCTCTTCGCGCCCGTTTGCCGTGCCGCCCTATTGTCCTGCGCTAGAGTGAACGTCTCCCGATGCTCCTTGCGCCCTAATGTCCTAGACCGAAAAATCATGTACTGTCTTCAATTTCAAACAAAAATCGTCGGAATCGTTAAGGATACCTAGACTATATACTTTTTGTTGGTTATTCCAAGCACGACTTCTTAATTGCACGCACATTTTCCTTTGGAACAAGTTTCTCCAAGAACTCTCTTGGGGTTGGAACCCATATCCTTTCAAAGGCAAATGTACCTGATGGTGCGAATTTACTTGGTAGCAAATTTTTGAAGGCCAATTTTGAGTTGAAATTTCCTGGACCGAATTATAGTGGTCTACTTGTATGCTTATATACAGTGTGTAAATTTTAAAAAAGTATATGCACCACTAGCACCCCATAAATCACAACAAACATTGTTAAATATGATAGTAGCAAACTTTTGAAGGCCAATTTTGAGTTGAAATTTACCTGGACCGAATTAGTGGTCTACTTGTATGCTTATAGGTAGCAAACTTTTGAAGGCCAATTTTGAGTTGAAATTTTCTGGACCGAATTAGTGGTCTACTTGTATGCTTATACAGTGTGTAAATTTGAAAAAAGTATATGCACCACTAGCACCCCATAAATCGCCACAAACATTTTTAAATGGCAACTTCCATATTGTATGTCATACTGATATAATAGTATACAACGAGAATTTAATCTATACTGCTTGTTAACGCCAAGTCGTCAACTTTTTGGATATTTTCCACAATTACACCCTATAATTAAAAGCACTTTGTGTTTTTGGGGAATTTCCAATTTTTAAAGAGGGTTTAAAAGGTGAGAGAGCTGTGGTCTGTTGAAGTACCGTTTTTGTCATTTCTCCGTGAAACGGTTCTGGGCATTTCTTAATGCTGGCCACTTTTTAAATTGACACACTGTAGATTGTCTTACGAGTAGGTATTTTTTTGTTTTCTACAGGTTTTTGTTGGCAATGCTGCTTGTTATGTTTGCGTTTCGTTTGTTTATTGTTTTTGTGTTGGTTAAGTGTTAAGTTAACCTAAGATATGGCATTGTTTTTCTAAATTCCCTTTGATGTTATTTATCCATATATTATTAAAATCAAAAGTGAGCACTTGCATTTCCAAAAAATCATATACAAATTTAATAACGGTAAGCTAATTCGGCATTTCTTTGTTTTCTTATCTTTCTTTATCTCTTCAGATGACCCATTGTAAACGTTTAGCTGCCTTTGACTTTGACAGTACAATTTGCAGTGAAAATTCAGATATTGTTGTAAGAAACCTTCTGTCATCGGACGTGGTTGCCAAATATGAAACTTGCCACAAGTACGACACAAGCGGATGGACGCAGTACATGCAAGGAATTTTCGAATTGCTGTATAGCAACAATCTAGACGAAGCTTTGATTACGAAGACAATTCACGAGATTCCACCTATCGACGGAATGGTTGAGCTAATACAAAAATTGGACAAACTCGATTACGATATTATAATAATTAGTGATGCGAATTCATTTTTTATAAACACATGGTTGCGGAAGTACAATTTATTAAATTGTGTCAAGGAAGTTTTCACAAATCCTGCAGAATTCCGCAATGGTCTGCTAACAATAAAAATGTATCATGTCCAAGACACATGTCGATTGAGTACCATAAACCTCTGTAAAGGCCAGATTCTAGATGATTTTATCAAGAGTCGGAGATTGGCAGGAGTTGTTTATGAAAATGTTATGTTTGTAGGTGACGGTTCGAATGATGTATGTCCCATGTTACATTTAAATATTGGAGACCTCGCCTTCTGCAGACAAGGCTTTCATTGTGCTCGTATAGTGAGTAATATAATGAAAGGGCAACCTTATAAAAATCAAATATACGACATGAAGGCCTCTGTATTTAAATGGAATAATGGGTTTGATATTTTAAAAATCGCTACTGATTCCTGAATATAGTCTTTTGTTTTGGATCTGCTTTATTTGGGCTGTGATTTGTAAATTTTTTTGTTTTTTTTTGTAAATTTACCCTTTCAGCATGTCTAAATTCATGTGCAAAACTGTCAAGACGTTACAGCTACCGTTGGTAGATCATATGAAAAAAAAATTAATCTGTAGTGTGTATTAATTATCATCAAGGCACCAAGAAGCTATGGAAACTACAATTATTCTATTTGCTTTAATAGAATGTACTGTATATGCAATATTTCGGCTACACTGTTGAGCATTACATGTTAATCGTTAGGACCTTCCTACAATAGCTTCTAGGAAAAGCTTTAGTTTCAAAAAGTAGAAGGGTCTTCAAATTACTATAGTATATGCGAGAGTATATGTAAATTAAACATTTTTAATAATAATTCTGATTTTATTACATTGTCATAAACTGCTTACGGACGTGTTTCACTTTCTGTAAACTTCTCATCTAAAGTGACATAGTGAGATAGTCAAAGGTCCAAAGATAGATACTTATGGAAATAGTTCATTGCGTCGTTGAATGAGAGTTAATGGTTAGGCAACCAAGCGCGCTCTATTACAAATAGTTTGATTGATAATCGTACTGTCACTCAAAGGTCTGTAGTGGAATAATGTGATAAATATTACATGTTGGTAAGGGCAAAATTGCAATTAAATTAAAAGTAAGTATGGACCATTTATGAGAGTTCATGAACAGTCGCAGAAGAAAGGGATTTTGGGTGAAACTGCTGTGCTAATCATTTGCAGCTAACTGGCTACGCCATCTTGATCTTTGTACAGTGATTATTTTTATAGTATCACATTGTACCGACCAATATTTGTGTATTTCATCGCTTTGTGTTCTTTCTTGTTTCTTCCTATGGTATTTACTCACTAGATTATCACAAAAAAAAACAATAAGTAAGAATAGTAGAAACAAAAATATTTAATGCTTCTATTGTAATTGTACACTATTGAGGGTATTTACAACCCATAGGTATAGGGTCAGTTCACTTTTTTGTTAAATCTAACCGGAAGGAATTGCTTTGGCGAAGGTAAAAGTTAATGGCACTGACTAAGTTAAAATACAATGTGACCAGTCACCGTCAGGTACATATCCAGTGCAACAGGGCGTAGCAAAATTTAAACACGTCGCACTAAAAATGAATAAGTATTAAAAATTGAGTAACAGCGCATCAACTTACGCTGGATGAATCATGGTAGTACACACTTTGTGAGTACATGTGCAAACGCATCTCGGTGCCGCTGATTCGATCTCCAAAAGTGTGGCAAAAGCCACTGCCAAAAGTACCCAGAACGTTTTCATAGTTAGTAGCAAACTTTCAAAGAAACTAAACTATGCGTTTCGTCTGAAAACTAGCATTTAAACGTGTAAATTTATTTTTACAGTCGTATCATTATACAAACTAAGGCAACACAAACTCTTATTATTTACCGTATTACATAGATACCCTTTCAAAAATAGATTAATAAATATAAGGGGAAGGCGCTGTACCAGAAACCATTTTTTTAACTCTTAATTACCTAACAATAACAAAAATGACTAGGTCACTCACCTCTACGAATTTACTTGTAAAGGTCCATTGTTACTTCGGTTTTACGAATAGTGCATATATAGGGAATTAAAACGGTCGATTATTTTTTTAAACCATTACGTTTGTATGCATAGATTTACAAAATATACTACATGTATCAATATTTTTTTAATGATCAAACAGAGCAAATATCATCGAACTAGCACATGAAAAATAAATATAGTTTTCTATAAAAGGTGAATGTTTCATCAATTTGTTCGTCGGTTTACGTTGCGTCAAGGCCCTTATGGAGTAGATGTAGAATCTCCATAATTTATGTAATATTACACTTGCTTGCCGTTATATGTAAAAAGTTGTTGATTATTTATCTTTGTTTACAGAGAATAGTAGGTTATCTGTAGAGATATTTGTTGTATAAAGTGTGATTTAGCAGTTATTTTGCCAATTATATGCCCTCTCTAACGCTGTGTGGCTTCTCAAGGGAACTATTTTGAAGGCGACAATATGCCAGAATCCAGACTCACAAGACCAAATAATGCGAAGAGAATGAGGAAATTGAGTTAATTATCTCAAAAAAATACACCTATGGAGAGAAACAAAAAGAAAAACTCGGGTGCAGTTATTTACACATGTATGCAGAAGAGGACACTTAAAACGTTAGTTATTATTTAAAATAAAACAATGTACAATGATAAAACTTTACTTTTTACAAACCCTGTACAATTATTTGTATTCTGTAGTATATTAACCGTTTTTGTTTGAGGTTAGTTTTTGTGTTAATTTGAATTTGTTTGTCTTCAGAATTATTTGCCCTTTTAAACGACCCTTATCATTCATGTTAATATGTCAGGTAAGGTTTGTTGCCGAGTTCAGCAAATTTAACCATTTGTCATAGATCATTTTTTGGAGAACGTAGACGAGATTCATAATCACGTAGCAGTTTTGGAACACAATCTAAATGCTATTCAAGACTACAAGGAGCAATTCATCGATGCTGTTAATGACAAAATAGGTTGGTTACACGTTTACTCATCTCCCGTTTATACCTTAAGTTTCAGGACTAACTTCTTCGGATTTGGAGAACGGGCGTACAGCTGCCGTCAATGTGAAAGAAAGCAGTAAAATTGATAACGAATGTCAAGAACTGGACGAGGAGATATGTGGCCTTCTCAACCAAATTCAGGTGAAAGAAGAGAACATCCGTAATTTAACGCAACAATTACAACACAAAAAGGAAGCTTTGGAGAAATTGAAATTAGGTAAATACATAGCGAAAATTTTACTAATGCAGCTAGTAATTCTGTATTTTAGAGGAAGAGGCTGCGCATATTAATAATCAAACTAAATTGAAAGGTTTTCAGAAGGCTTTGCATCACTTTACCCAAAACTTTCAGTATACTATCAGTTTGGAGGATGTGGAAGATCCAAATCGATATCACCTTATAATGACCTTTATTATCGATAAAGTGGTGTCTCCGTATCCAATAAAGTTTATTTTTGAGAATAAAACTGACATACTGATAGGTACAGTCAATGGCCTATTTAAATGACTTACTTTTTGTTCATTTTTAGACTTTGATGGTAGAGCTTTGCTGACAGATGATGAGCATAGAACTTTATCTGATCTGTACCACAAAAGAAAAAATACTTTAGCTTTGTTATGCCGATTGCGAAATATCACAAAGAAAAGAATGCTCCAGGCTAAAAGTGGAGCCTTAGGGAATGAAGGATCTGTGTAACAATAATATATATTAAGAAAAATTATTTCATGTTTGTGTTATATTGCTAAGAACAAACTCTGTACATTTGCTGTATATTCTCTATTTTCCCTTATTAGAAATATAGTACGAATGTTTGGATCATTATTACCCCTATTAGTTGGTCCAGTGGCGTACGCAGAAATTTATTCTGGGTTCGTGGCACATACAGTCACCCAGTGCGTACTAGAAGAGGGGGGGGGGGAGAAATAGAAATTGGGTTGCAGAGGCGAAAAAGATTAGATTAGAACGGTATTTTATTTCTTACTGCTGACAGGTCCCTTTATTGCTTTTGCTTTAATTAGTCAACGAAAACTTTGAATAATAGGTATATTTATGGGCAAAAAACCAATTTCGACAAAAAATTCAAAGGGCTGGAACTTTTGATCTAGTAGCCCGATCTTGGAACTGTTTGAAATTATGGATTCTACCGGCCACATTCTATAAGAAAATATTTTTTTCCGGTCGATCTGACACAATTTTTTTACGGGGCAAAAAAAAGGCAGTATTTACTTTCCTTTTTTTCCAAAAATCGACTGCACCAAAATTTCTCGGGAAAAAACTTTTTCATTTGGGTGCGTAGAATCCAAAACGATTCGTACTTTTTCGATTAGACGTCTCAATCAAAAGTTATGGGCAAAAAAATTCCTGTTTTTAAAATTTAACATTCTTATTTTCGTCATTTCGTGAAAGGCAGGACGCAGGTACCTCACCTCAGTAGCAGTACTAAGTACCTGATACCTATTTGTTATTTTGGGCATCAATGTAGCGAATTGCCGATCGATGCCGAATAGTCAAATCGTTGACTGCCAACACTGATCACTCACTGAATAGTGAATACTACAGAATATTTAGATTTTAGTGACTTTAGACTTTAACCAAAACCAAAATTGCTCTCTATATTTTGACACCACTATCAGTAACATGGTGTTGGAGGCTATCACATTCCCTTTATCGGTACCCACTTCCAACGTCCTATTCACCCGCAAATCGCCTATGAAGTTTTCACCCTTCAATGTTATATGCAATCTGATCTTGATCTCTCTAAAAACTGTTAGGTTTTTTCTTTGAAATAGTATTCCACTTATGCAACTATTTCTTGTACATTATTTAACCGCTTTTCGAGTTTGCAATATACAGGGTTGTGTGGAGTAACACCCCAATCATTGATTATATACATATAATTATTTTTAAACTCAATGTTGCCCTAAATGGGTGTAGGCGGAACAATATTCACAACCAGAGTACGTTTGCGACAATTTTGCTAACCCAAGATGTGAGGGTTCAAAACAAAAACAAAGAAAAATTTTACCTTTTTATTACAGAATAAGACTGCAATACATTACCAATAGAAAATTACGCTTAAATTTTACATAATTTATAAGCTGTTTCGGTACAAAAGAAAAGGATTTACAAGAAATTGTGCGCTACTCTGAACAAGCAGTAGAATAGATTTCAATTTCTTCAAAGTTACTATTCAAACGAACATTTCAAAAACGGATACCATTAACAGTTGGTATAAAAATGTGAAGTTTTTTTACACAAAGAAAAACTATATTACTCATTATTTTATTTTGTCTAAGTAATTTCAGTCATACATCGCACAAATTCTGAATATGCTATTACAACCAACATTTAATTCTCAAATCTGTCTAAAGTTAGTTAAATACCTATACAAATCTTAAACTATTCTATTCGTAACGTACATGTAGAATTTGTTATAAAGTTAGAAAAATGCCAGTGGTTATGAAAATGTCCGAGTATCTTTACAATGAAAATGAACCCAACCAAAATGTGCCCGCTCACGCACCAAACACCACCACTTCGGTGTTTAATACTTTGCAACATAATTAATATCTGTGCCTATATTACAAAATTTGTTCAAATACACAACTAAAAAGAAGGGTTTTGTGAACATCTAATTGCGCAGAAATCCTTTCTTCACAATAAGTTACGAAATAAATTTTCTACAATGTCTTGTACTATCTGGTCATACTGATTGATGGAATATCGTTTATGTACAGACTTAGCCCAGGTCTACCACTTTTTATACCATTGTTAATAAGATACAACGTAATTAGTTGATATTTA